CAAAAGATAACAAATCATCAGTGATGAGGAAGGCACAGCATTCGCTTCAACCTCTAAAGGAAGATCCCAATGTATGTAATATCTTCTATTTACTACAACTGAAAAGTAGTTTGGGGCAAATGTAGGTTTACAGTTGTTAGTATGGAAAAATAATACAATAATCTATATACATAAAAGCCTAAGCCACCATTAAGACCTGAGGAAGGGACAACCGGCTGGTAGCTATGACGTGCACTGACCACCAGGGGGAAGACGCTCAAGGCAGGAGCTGCTCCCTGGTGGTCAGTGCGCTCCCCGCTTCCCCCTTCACACCCCTCCCCCCCATAAGGACTGGGCAAGATGCCCCAAGGGGCCAGGCCTAGGGGCCCCACCTGTGGGCCAACTCATGCACCGGGCCTCTAATTAATAAATAATACAGAAAAAAAACCCTCTGTTTTGCGTTACTCACAATTGTAAATCTACTTTGGAAAGATTTTTGTTTAATTTTTGAATGCGAAGGGTTTCTTCCTTCTCTATTCATTCAAGTTAGCCACAACTTGAGCATACCACTTAGTAACCAAGACTTTTCTTTGCCTTTACCTAGAAATCTTCCTCCTAACTAGAATCTGTGTTCCTTTCAGAAGTTCGTTTCTACAGTACCGTCCACTATGACAGAAGGCAGACTGACTTACTAACAAATGACCTTTTTTGGGGGGAAGGAAAAAAACCCTGATCTTCAACGCCCCCTTCATTCCCCGTCTGATGTATTTACGTGCGAATCTGCCAGGGGAGGAGGTGGAACGGCCGTTCTCACGAAGCCTGGACGCAGTGGGCATCCAAGGAATGCCCACACGCACTGGAGTCCTCCGGCAACAGCGTGGGCCATTCCCCAACACTGGCTCCACCCTCCGGGCCAGCGCCAGGTCCCGGCTCCAGACCGCGCTGGCCTGGCGGTGGCGAAATGAAACACTGTCGCTCAAGGAGACCCAGGATGAGCTCAGGCAGCAGGTCCGAGGCTGTCGGTCCGGAGACCTCTCCCGCCCCAACCCGGTAACCAACCTCTCCGCCCGCAGATCCGAGGGGGCAAGAGCCTCCGCCCAATCCCGCAGACAGACAGCCTGGCGTCAGGACACGGGGACGCCTGCGCAGAACCCGCCTCCCATCCTCCCGACCCCTCCGCTAGGAAGGGTAACAATACCCCCTCAGAAAGACACGCAGGGCAGGCGGGGGGCACCGGGACGCGTCTGCGCGCTCCCCACATGCCTGGTCGCGACCCAGCTGAGGCCGCCAGCCCAGCGCCCCTGGTGCTCAACCGTCTCCACCTGAGCGCGCCCGCGCGCGGAGGCTCCCACCACTCGCACTGACAGGGTCTCCTCACCTGAGCCGGGCTCCGCCCCCCTCCTCGCTGGAGAAAGCAATGACCCTTCTCCGACCCGACTCGACAGTGTCGGAGGAGGCGGGAACGTCCAGGCTGGCGTCTCCGTGATGGGATTTCCTACCCCTTCCGCCCACCCTCCCCGCCCACCCCGCCTCTCGTTCCCCAGCTCCCACAGCCCGTTGGCCGCCTTACTCTGAAAACACAGCGGCGGCGGCCGACAGTAAACGGAAGTGACGCAATGCGACAACGCCTACTCCACCTCCTCCCCTCGGGCCGAACTGCAACCAATCAGCAAGAGAGGGGCGGGGGCGGGGCAGGAGAGCAGCCAACCAGCGCGCGGAATCCGGAAGAATTTCCTAGGCTCCGGGACATTGGCCAATCCCTGGTCCCAGGAGTCTCGCTGTGTTTACTACCGACCGAATCCGCGAGCGCTGTGGCCAATCACCGTTTTCCTTACAACACGTAACACTGGTATCAAACGCCTTTAAGGCGGGATTCACCACTAAGAGGCTTTAGGTTTGGCTATAGAAAAGCTAATGTGTGTCACAACCAATCAAGACCCATTGTGGTTGAGGGGAGAGGGCGTTCTGTCTCGATCCACCAATCACAATCGCGACTTCCGAAGTTTGTTCCACCTTTCGCGGGGCCTGAAGGATTTTCCCACTCCCCCAGCGCCGGCCCTTCCGAGACCAGTCGGCTCCCTGTCGGAAGAGTGCGCTTCGCCGCAGCCACACACACACCGTTTAGAAGTAATTTCTTACGTCGTAGACTTTAGAAAAAATAAAATTCCAAGAAGGTGTTTAGGTTGAATTAGCCGAAATCCAGGCTGCAAACGTTGAACCAACGCTATCGCAGTTGGGCCCGACAGCGCCCCAAGTCCAGTGCGGGAGGAGAGGGGGGTGGCTTCTCGCAGCTCTGGCGCCGGAGGACTGACGGGGCTGGGCTTCATACTCACTCATGCTTCACATTTCGTGCCGTAGGTCACAGAAGCCTACAATCTCCAAAACCAACTTCCTCCAAAAAACCCCACAAAATTAGACACGTGGAATGGTAGCGTACTTTCGTGGGACGCTGTCAGAACAGAGCAAGCCCCTGAGATCCCAGGTGCACCCTCGGAGGGAGGGTCCGAGCCCTGAAGGGAGACTGGACAGGGAGCTCCTGTCCGGGAGCTCGGCTTGGATCCAAAGACAAGGGCAGGCTGGGGAACACCTCGGGTTTCTAGAGGAAGGGAAGGTGTACACTTTTAAATATCTCACTGCCTCAGAACTTAACACTAAAATATTATTAGAGCTGATGCATCTGTACAGACGTTATAGGTTGGAAGTATTACCATCTGGGGTTTCTTTCTTTAAAGCTTCAGTGAAGTCTGATGGTCAATTCTGTTCTCTAAGATTCCCTGACATTGTATAGCCCTTACAGATATTTTATTGCCACATTGGGCAGTAAAAGAAAAAGATAAAGGAATGCTGACAATAAGCCGGGTGGTGTGAGAGGTCTTTTCATATGTGACCCTTACAAAAATGCTGTGAGCTAGACATTATCCCAAATTTACAACCTAGCAAAGATTTGTATATTCAGTACTTAGGAGTACTATAGGCACTCTCCTATATTGTTGATGGAAGTACCAATGACACTGCCTTTGAAGATAACTTGATAATATCTATCAAAATTTTAAATATGAATTCATTCCCTCCTAACTGGAATAACTTTCTAGAAATGTATTCTGAAATGCACAAATTAACCTAGGTGAAATACACAAATGTGGGAAAATATTTAGGAGGTTGTTGATCACAACTTTGTTAATAGAAGAAAAAAAAGAAAAAGCTGAATGTGCATCAACAGAGGATTACCAAAAAAATGATATATGCATTTTATGGCTCCTTCATTACTAATGACAAAGTAGGATTTATCTCTGGAATGCAAGGATAGTTCAATACATAAAAATTGATTGAGCCCGGCGGTGTGGTTCAGTGGTTGAGCACTGACCTATGAACCAAGAGGTCACTGTTTGATTCCTGGGTTGCAGGCTCAATCCCCAGTGGAGGTGTGCAGAAGACAGCTGATCAATGATGTTCTCTCATCATTGATATTTCTATCTTTCCCTCTCCCTCTCTGAAGTCAATAAAAACATTTTTTTTTAAAATTGATCGATATACCACGTTAAAAGAATGAAGGGGAAAAAAACCCATGATCATCTCAATTAATGCAGACAGTATTTGACAAAATTCAAAACCCTTTAAAAAAAAACCACACACTCAACAAGGAATAGAAGGAATCTACCTCCACCTAATAAAAACCAAACTATATATGAAAATCCACAGCAAATATTATATTCAATAGAGAAAGACTTGAAGCCTTTCCATTAAGATCAGAAACAAGAAAAGGATGCCCACTTTCAGCCCTGGCTTGTTTGGCTCAGTGGATAGAGCATTGGCCTGTGGACTGAAGGGTCTCAGGTTTGATTCCGGTCAAGGGCACATGCCCAGGTTGTGGGGCGATCCCTAGTAGGGGATGTGCAAGAGGCAGCTGATCAATGATTCTCAACATTGATGTTTCTATCTCTCCCTCTCCCTTCCTCTCTGAAATCAATAAAATTATAAATATTTTTTTAAAAAAGGATGCCCACTTTCACAACTTCTATTTTACAGAATTTCTAGCTAGAGCAGTTGGTCAAGAAAGAGAATAAAAGGCATCCAAATTGGAAAGAAAGAAGTAATATCTTTTTGCACATGATAGGACCCTATATTTAGAAAACCCTAAAGATTTTACAAAAATCTGTTAGAACTAATAAAATTCAGCAAGTACCGGGCTACAAAGTCAACACACAGAAATCAGTTGCATTTCTATATGCTTAAAATGAACCATCTCAAAAGGAAATTATGGCCCTAGCCGGTTTTGCTCAGTGGATAGAGCATTGGCCTGCAGACCAAAGGATCCTAGGTTCGATTCCTGTCAAGGGCACGATATTTCCCTCACATTGATATTTCTCTCTGTCTTTCCCCCTTTCTTTCCCTCTCTCTAAAAACTTTGAGCCTGCTAGGCTCCTCCCTGGGTCCATCCTTGAAGGGTTGATTGGGCCACAGATGTATGCATGCCTAGGCCGGAGGAATGACCATGACTGGGAGCTGTTTGCAGCATTGTGGACGAGCTTGGACTTACGGACGGATGTCCACAGGTGTGCGTGGAGGCCCTAGAGAGCAACTGCTGTCTGCCAGCTGCCACATTTAGTTGGGGCTCAAGGTGTGCCTGTCAGAGAACTCGAAATTTGAACTTGGCCTTTCAGGTTTTGGTAAGATATACTTGTCACCGTAGGAGAGGCAGATCATACCCTATCTAGTCCGTGCTGAGCAAGAAGAAACCCCACATGACCATTGGGTAAAAGCTGCAAGACTTTAGGAGTGTCGGACCCTCGTCCCCTACAACTCTTAAAGGCGCAGGCGGACGTTCGGTCGATCAGGTGTAGCGCCTCGGAGAGGCAGGCCAAGGCTAGGGCGATGCACTAAGTGGACACCACGCCCCTTCGCGCTGAGGGGCGGGGCGAATGATGGGCGGGGCGGGAATGGCGCACCGCCCCGTTCAGAG